ATATATGGTACTAAAGGGGGAAAACAACAGTATGCAATGTTTTTTACAGCAAAAGTCATCTGGTTTATTAACTTTGGTTCCAAAGAACTGCAACAGTAATGTTTAAAAAAAAATTAGTGCAAGATCAACAGCAAACAACAGAAAAAATAACTTGGATGCATTAAAAATAAATTGTGCAAAAACAGACACAATTAAATAAATAAATAAATGTCAAGGAGAATTCTCTGCATTTGTTCAAAAAATGTAAATAAACAATTACTTGAAACCATTGTTTATAAAATAAATTTAAAGTTAAGTAATGTTCTTAAAACTATGTAAACGTATGTAACAATTTGTTATTTCTTCCTCAATACTTCACAAACTTCCTAAAACCTGTGCTGGGGGCCCCGGGCCCCTAAGCAGCCGCTAAGTTTGCTTATGCTTTGGGCAACAAAATGTGCAGGGCCTAACAGTTTTGCAAGCCGTGCACGCTAAAAAAAAAAAAGTCTTTATTTAATAAACTTTAGATGCATGTCTTGCTGGTTGCAAACACTCAGAATTAAGTGAAACAACTGGGGAAAAAAAAAATCGCCTATTTTGAGTCGCAAACTAGTCTCGTGCCTTCTGGGAACAGGTCTGAACTATCACTTTGGTTGTATTTAATAACACGACAGGGATGTCTGCGTATTTCTTTAAATAAAAAAAACACTCACACAAATGAAGGAAGTCGTAAAAACTAACCTTCAGTTAAAGCCATTAAAAGCAACTTATACCTTTTTTGGTCGCATTTGTTTGCTTTACTGTCTGAAACGGAGGCACAGATAGAGGCCACGCCCCCACCCTCCGCGCGCTGCGTGTCAGCAGCGGGCGGCGCGCGGAGCTGCTACCGCCAGGCTGCTGCCTGAAAGAAAGAAAGCAACGCAGCGAAACAAGGCTGAGAGAGGGCAGCATGGCGGGTCTACACGACTTCCACCAGGGCAGCCACTGTCACAGGAAAACGTGGATCAATATACTATTAGGAGTACTACAAATACTTCTACCTATTATCCACCACGGAGGAGCTCAGCTGCAAGGTTTGTGTATTACTCTGTTGGAGGGTGGAACGTTAACGCGACCCGTTGATGGGCGAAAAAACAAGTTAGCTACCTGACAGTGACAGCGTTTCACTACATGGAACGGAGCTAAAACTGTCCGTTTTAAACTCCTTAATGTGTTAATACAATCTCGCATACGTGTTTGATGTAGTATAAATTGATGTACATCAGCTGCTGTTTACCAGTACGCAGTAGTTGTATTTTCTTTTGCTAGCTGCCTGCCAGCAGTTGATTTTAACGAAGCTGCAAGTTGCTCCGGCAGGAAAGTCCTCCGCCTAAATAAGTGGACTTCTAAGTACTACTTTTTGATTGTGAGTGCAATAAATTAGCACAATATTTTAAAGTCTTTCCACGTTGCTAAACTGGTGTCTGCAGCATCAAGATGGGAGATTTGTTCCAAGTTCGTTAGCCACTAAGCTAACTAGCTAAACAAGCAGCTAGCAAAAATAGTCAACCTGCCGAGGTGAAGTCGTTTCTTTAAAATATTTTTGATTAATAAGCCATCCCCTCCCTTGTAGTTAACTCGTTTGTAATTACACATAAATTAAAATGACTTTGGCTGTTTGTATTATTTATTTGCTGTTTAAAGCAGGCGCAGTTGTGCCTTTGCAGCCCAATACACAACCCTGAATTATTTTTATTTATTTCATTTCAAAGCTCTGAGTCAGATGTCCACCAGTGTGGTTGAGGTCTGGCAACCAGAGGAGGCAGACCCATTTGTCCCACTTCAGGTAAAATCTTTTTTTTTTTTCTTTCATGGGTGTGTTTGCATGGAGGAGGAACTGAAATGGAACTAAATGCAGAACACTGAACACAAAACTTCTAAATACAGACCTATATTTGAACCTGTGGAGGTTAAAAACACTGACGACGTGCTTATGTTTGTGCACAAATCTCACAATTATCAAGCAGCTAAATGAAACACCCTCAGAATAAACCATAGTGGACCATTTTCAGTTTTGTTCTTATTTTCTTTAGCACATAATGCAATGAGAACTGTCCACTAAAAATATATTGCAAGTGGAGGCCTTAAGTCTTCCTTCACTTTACTTTGCAGTGTATTTGTATGCATGACTTGTTCAGTTAATGTATTTTGTGCAGACTTTTCTAGGATGGGCAACCAACTGTCTTACCCTTTAATAGACATTTATATTGGTTGTGTAACTGTAGAGCACAGAGGTACACACAGAAGCAATTTAGTGTTTACACACAACCTGTCATGAGGTCACCAGCTGACTTCTCATGTCACCTGAGCAGTGTGTGGCATTATTTGCAGGACTCTAAAGAGACACTGCAGGTTGTTTGGTTATAATCTTGTAAGTAAAGACATTTATTAAGTTCCTACCACTCAGCTGAATGTCAGTTTTTGTGCAGAAATGTAAGTACTGTTTAATAATAAAAGCAAAAATGTCCTGCTGCCTAAAACTGCATTTACTATATTTCACTCATCCCTGCCTTTATGTTCAATTAGCAGAATCAATGACTGTTAGGTGTCATATTTAACACTGAATGGAGCGACTGTCTCATTTACATGGGCGGCATGAAACAGAGCGTGACATGTGTGTCTTGACACACTCCTGTTGCTGGTAGACAGCTTTGCAAGTAGTATATTCTGTAAGGGATTATTTAAGTTGCAATCCTTGAAGTATTGCATCAGCTACAGCATCAGAATGAGCCGCCTAATAGTTTGTAGGTTTTTTATTGATGCGTAAAAACTTATTTATGTCCATATTTTAGGACCTGTATAATTACTGTCAGTCAGCAGTCAACATTTGGGGCTTCTGAAAGTGCTCTTGTTTATTATTATGTTTATTATACGTTATGTTTATTATTGTTATATTTCTAAGTTGAATCATGTTTGATTAAAATGCAGCCTTCTGAATTCTGGTAACCCCCCCCCCCCCCCCCCATAAAGATTCTCCTTTTTATTTTTTAAAAAGTACTATTAATGTCATACTTCAAATATGCTGGCAGACATTGTTAAATATCACAGTGTGTGTGTGTTTATCATAACTTTACTTGCAGCAACCCATAACTTTGTCCCATGTTGTTTAGAAGGGAATCTGTGGAGTTGAGAAAAAGCAGCAAATAATTTTACATTCAGGTCAGAAATGACTTGTAATCTCAGCGACCAAAGAGAAAAGTCCTTAGTTCAGTCTGTCTAAATACATGCTTGAAAATCTGATAACGTTTTAAATAATAGGAATATTTTTCAAGATGCTGCAAGTGGAAAGATGAAAGTGAAGTGCCTCACAAATCAGGACTCTTGACATAGACTGTACTTTAAATTTTGTATGTAGCTTAGCTGGCATTTTTGTGGTTTAATCCTGAAGCCAAGATGTAGCTAAAAGGTACATGTTCTGATGGAAACTAAGCTTTTTTTTTTTTAGCTTGTTGTCGTTTTTCTTTTTAAAAAAAGTTCTCCTGTACTGTATGGGAAGTGGTGGCACAGGGGTTAAAGAAGGCAAGCCTATGATTGGGAGGTTGCTGAATCTCCTGATTGTTTTATCAAATATGTGGGTGGAAAAGGTGAAGCACCCACACCTTATTCCACCCTCATTCACCCTACTATTGGCCCTTGAGCAAGGCCTTTAACCCTCCAGCTGTTTGAGCTGGTTACTAAAAATAGCTCCCTACACAATATGTGATGTCAGCGTGTACCCGGATTTTGGCAAACAAAACTGAGTACAATACAATTTGTGTTTACATGGACAAAAGCATTGGAGGTGGCCATTATGTATGAGGTCTGCCAGTTATTAAAAGACTGGGGATTCCTCACAATTCTTATCACATCATCCCTGATCAATTCTATTTCTAAAATACACTTGAAGGAAATAAACGGCTTCTTAAAGGAGCTCAGCTGTAGGAAATAACATGCAACAGCAAAAGGGTAGCAACAAAACAGTGTTCACTTTTAACTACCATGTTTATTTAGTACCAATGCAAAATGCTGGCTTTTAAACTAGGATTTTGCCTTTTAGCACTAGAATACTTCATACATAATCCTGCAAATGTAGCAACTATAGTGTGGGAAACAATCACTCACATTTACATATTGTAAAAATGTCAACACAGAATGAATTAACAAAAACCTTGTCGGAGAGCTATGTTGGAATGTTACGAACTTCACGGCATGCATGCCCACAGGTTCAGCCCAGATGCAATTATTTTGTTTGTGCTTCTTTTTTAAAGTACTAGTTCTCAGTACTTGGAAAAACAAATTGAATGCTGACATAATAAAGACAGTCTGGGCTGGTCATTGTTGTCAGTAAGTGGTAACCTTGGTTGAGTTGTTGAAATTCAGGCAATAAATGAGGCAACCTGAGTTGGTTTACAAGTTGTGTCCTGTTGCTGTAGCAGCACGAGAGCTGCTCCTTGTCTACAAGCTCAGGCTGGTGAAAAAAGATAAGTCTACTTTTCTAGCTTGTCTGGTTTGTGTGGTAGGTTGTTTTCATTATCTTTTCCAAAAATGCACACCGATATTTAAAGAGCATCTATAAAGCACTGGTGGAAAAGAACTGGCAAATGTTCTCATGTTGGAAAGGTTTTGTTATTGGGAGATGAATACAGCAATGAACCAAATTAAATAAAAAAAAAAAGTTACCATTAGAAAACGAATAATGAGCTGACCATTTTAATCTACTGATATTGGCCACTTTTAAAAATATCTGCAAGCACTGAATGAGCAAGTAGTAAAATGTAGATGCAGCAGCTGCCACAACCAGCTTGCTGTAGCCAATAATTAAGTTTTTCTTAAGAGAGAATACTTTCTTATATATCCTTTTTAAGAATACAATTTCTTCTAAGTGTTGTAAAATTTATTTTTATTTAAGTTAAATAATTGCAATAGTATTGTAATGAAAAATACATATTGTAAAAAGAAAAATCAGTTCAAGTAGATTTTGTCATTCGCATCACATGTGGTACATGAGGTGGAATGAATTGTGTACACAGGGTCCCAGTTACAGCCAACAGCAGCAAAAATATATATGTAAAAAGAAACCGTAATAAGGATTTGATATAAACTAAGAAATATGCTAAACACTTTTAGTGCAAAACAATACGCCAAACAACAGCAGCTGAGCTGTACATCAGCCATCAGGTACCCTGACTTCTAAAGATCTGCATTGGCCATTGAGAAACTCATCATTTGACCCTTACATACAAGGTAACTAATAAAAACTGTGTGAAATTAATTCAAAATAATGTAAGTAGTTAAACAACAAAGTTGTGCTATCATAAAATTGTCATGATTAGAAATTATTTCAGTTTAAACGTTCTAAATTGTGCTTTGCAATGGAAATGGAAATGAAACCCACTAAAAATGTAGAACCACACCGTTGATGACCACTAAAAGAAAATAGGTTTAAAAAAAAATTAAGTATTAAAATTGTATATTATTCATAAAAACATTCTGAATTTTGGTTGAACTTTGTCACGTCCCTCCAACTTGAATCCGACATTATAAAACCTGTAGTTAAAGCAATCATTCAGATCTTCTGAAATAGGGTTATGAACAATTAATATATTATCTGTTCAGATTTCTCTTTGACCTTAGTTTTGAGATTAACTGACTGTGTTTTATCAGAATATTTAATGAACTACTTGACAGATTTTAACAAGACTCTTTAAGTACTGGTAATTATTAGATGTACCGCTACAACTAATTAACTTTTGGAGTCCACCCAATTTAAGATGGCCACACTACATTTAATCAACTCGAACCAACATAAAAATGGTTGTACTTTATTAAATTTACAGATAATTAGCTAAAATGTGATGCGGTAGTATCAGAGAGTCTTTAAAAATACACAGTCTGAGTACTAATACATCTCAGTAACCCATGAAATTGTGCATGTCATTTACAAACTTTGATCAGAACTGCTTTAACTCCATTTCCTCTAGTTAAAAAGTTAACTTGGTTTAAAACACCGGCATGAAAGCTTGCCCTTAATTTTAGAAAATGCATTTGAGGCCCTAGTGATGGCATCTCTTTCAGAGAACGAACTTGCCCTTTCAGTGTGTTGTGTGATCTGACACTCTCCTTTCAATACAGCAGCAGCCGATCAAGCTGCACGTGCTGCAGTTGACTGACTTTGACTAAAAACCTCCCACAAAAACAGCGATAAGACCACAGTCACCATATCTCTGGTCTTCCTTATGTGAGACCTGCTGAAGGGCTGCAACTTAGATTTTGGTTGTGTTGCTTAATCTTTGATTTTTCAATGAAATTATTAAGGATGCACGATATTATCGGCATGGTATTGGTATCGGCCAATATTAGCAATAAAGTTCAATATGGACATCGTCCATTCCATCAAAATAACTCACCAATATAAAAGGCGCTGTTTTATATATATATATGGCACTATTTTTGTATGACTGGTTGAGTGTTGTCATTGTGTTAGAGAGAGTAAGTGTCATGAATAAATTTGACATTAAACATAATCTAAGTTGAAGTGTTGCATCATTTTCAGCCCCTTTTTGGCATCTGCATTTGGTAACAGGCCAAACTGACAAAGACCATGTAGAATACTGTAGTATTTTAATTCCACAACAGAGAAAGCTATGTAGTCTTTGTAAGTAAGTCTAAGGGGGAAAAATATCGTTATTGGTATTAGTTATTGGCCAAATAACTTTTAACATTGGCATATCGGCCAAAAATCCAATATCCTGTATCCCTAGAAATTGTATTTTATGTAAAAACTGAGGATTTCAAGAGGGAAAGAAAATCTCAATTCTAAACTGAATATTATTTCAGTTTATCAATGTGCATCAAACCTTTCAGTGTAAATGATCTCATGAGTGCCAGAGACACAGATACAGACACATCCTTCAGAGTCTGACATGGTCGTCTCATACCCTGTTATGTGAAATCAATTGTTTCTTCTTTCAACATTACTGAGTAAAGTGTTTCATTTTGTTTAGGTGGAGAAGGAGCAAAGAAAAGACGGTCTTCCACTAGAAGACAGGTACAGTTTTTGTCTTGATTAAAATTTTCTGCGCTCAGCTGTAAACTCAAACCCTTTTCCATGTGTTTGTTCCCATCCTGACTTTTTTTTTAACAATCATCAAAGCTTAATGTAGAAATTACATCAAATAAAGGTGGAATGGGAATATTTTGTGCATTGTACAGTCCAAAACAAGCATTTATCAAAAACGTGTTATGTAATCATAAAAACAAAAATTAAAAAAATGTGACCAGTTTCAGTTTGATAGACCAGTGTAAAAAGCCCTTTAAAAGTCCTCCCCTGTAGACTGTGTTGTTTATGTTAGTGAGTGAGGGGGTGTGTGACAGAGAGAACGGTGTGTGTTACAGAGGCACACAACCAAATTCCTAGCTAATTTTAGACCTCCTTGGGAAAAAAAAGCAGAGGTCTGTCTTTCCCTGGTGTTTTTGTTCCCTCAAAAAATCTTTTAAAATATATTTTTGTGAAAGAAAGACAAAATGTTAGTATTATTTAGTAAATCTTGGCACGTTTTAGTTCTCCTGAATGCTGAAGTCAAAGATGTCTTGCTTATACCTCTGTCTCAAAGGATTAATAAGAAAATCTGCCATACTGGAACTGGTCATACAGGATCTCCATTATTCTTGTAGTTTGCTATTTATTTGTTTATCCTAAAATATTTTGAGAACGTACTGGCATAGACAATGACGGGGATACTTGGTAAAGTAAAAATTGAGGTTGTATTTATTTTTTGAATAGTTTTTGTGTCAGAGGGTCATGTTCCTTTTTACTAGTCAATAAGTGTTAATACACGGACTGAATGAACACTTTATTTTGATAGTCTGCAGGATGTCATGCAAACGTGTGTTTCTAAAATAGTTGTTCAGGTCACGCAGGTTTTCTCACCCAGCAACCTATTTGCGCATTTATTTTGCAGTTCTTTGCTATCTAAAATAGTCACGTAAAATGGATCTAACACTACAGGAAGCGTACAGTTGAATTTGTGCAAATCCATTTAAATGGTGTCAGTGGTCCTGAACCATGTGGGAATATGTCCATTTTAAATCTAAAAAGATGTGGAAAATAAAGAGTTTTGTCTGTACAACTTGACCTTAAAAATCTTGAGCTGCGAGGCCTCGTGTGCCAGGGTTATCAGGCTCTTACCAGGTCTGCCATCACCCTCTCCCAGTCTGAAGAGCTAATCCGGCAGCAGATACAGAGGTTAATGATCTTTCCATCTGTGTTAGGTCTTGTGTCAAAATGTCTTGGCTCATTTCCTTGTGCTTTTGGCTCTTTCTCCAGCTCATTTACCTTCATTTGTAAACTTGTTCCTCATTGGAACGTTGCAAGTGCTTTTAATTTCACTGCAAGTCTTATTTTGTTGCTTTTCTTTTACAAACATGTCTGGGAACAACTGCTGACCTAAACGCTTGTCTTTTCTAATCCCCACTCTTTTGAAGCATTGCTAAGGTCACTGCTAACACTAACTTCATGTGAGTTGCATCCCAGGGATCAAATAACTCCAAACATAACATGTTATTTTTGTACTGAGCAGTGGTCAGAACTCTTGAGCTAGAGCTTCGTGGTACAATTGTTGGAAGGATGTTTTTTATATTTGTTTTTTAAGGAAATTTACGACAAAACAGTAGTCCCTCGTTTATCACAGGGGATCCGTACACTGAAGACCCGCGATTAGTGAAAAACCATGAGGTAGGAATAGTAGTACAAGTACTACATAGTAGTTTATTATATATATATATATATATATATAAGGCATTTTAAAACCTTCCCACACTCTTGCAATATTCTAAACAATGTTTCTAAACTTTAAACGCTCTAAAAGAGCACAGAATATTATGATTTGAGCTCCCTGCCTCCTCTGCCCTCAGCCACCTGCAAGCACTCTTGGCCATGCCCACTTCTCAGCTCTGCACGGAGATCAGCTGATCAGCTGCAGCAGGAAGTTTATCCTGCAGTATGGGCTGCACAAAGGTGCAGCAGGTGCTAAATAATTTTAAATAATTTATTTTCAATAAAAAGTTCATTCTGATTGTGCGGCGCATCCATCAATCAGCCAGTTGTGTGTTATGTCCAATCTTATTTTGAAAAACCGCGAGTCCGAGATAAACGAACCGCGAAGTAGCGAAGGACTACTGTTCTCAAATGTACAGTATGACAATTTAGATGCCTTTATCTGCTTTTAAGAATCTGACATCACTAACAAAAAGTGCAGCTTATTTTTTGCACACCAAAAAGTAATATCAATTTACAGTTTTGCATGTGTTTAACCTTTCACATTAACCACTTGCAATAATCAGTATACAGTAATGCTGTTTTTAAAGTTTAATTCTTGATCATCATAGGTAGTTGTGTTTAAACTAATAAACAGCAGTATGGTTGCTTTAATAGCTTTCTCATCACTTCCAAGTGTCTACAGAAACGGACAAACAAATTATCTTATACATTTGGCCTACAGTGGTGCTTGAAAGTTTGTGAAATCTTTAGAATTTCCTATATTTCTGAATAAATATGACCTAAAACATAATCAGATTTTCACACAAGCCCTGAAAGTAGATAAAGAGAACCCAGTTAAACAAATGAGACAAAAATATTATACTTGTTCATTTATTTATTGAGGAAAATGATCCAATATTTCATAATTATGAGCGGCAAAAGTATGTGAACCTCTAGGATTAGCAGTTAATTTGAAGGTGGAATTAGAGTCAGGTGTTTTCAATCATTGGGTTGATGATCAGGTATGAGTGGACACCTTGTTTGATTTAAAGAACAGGGATCTATCAAAGTCTGCTGTTCAAAACACGTGGAAGTGTATCATGGTAGGAACACAGATTTCTGAGGACCTCAGAAAAGTTATTGATGCTCATCAGGGTGGAAAAAGTTACAAAACCATCTCTAAAGGGTTTGGACTCCACCGATCCACAGTCAGACAGACTGTGTGTAAATGGAGGAAATTTAAGACCGTTCTTACCCTCCCCAGGAGTGGTCAAGCAACAAAGATCACTCCAAGAGCAAGGCAAGGAATAGTCAGCGAGGTCACAAAGGAGCCCAGAGTAACTTCTAACAACTGAAGGTCTCTCTCACATTGACTAATGTTGATGTTCATGAGTTCACCATCAGAACACTGAACAACAATGATGTGCATGGCAGGGTTGAAGGAGAAGCCACTGCTCTCCAAAAAGTACATTGCTGCTCATCTGCAGTTTAAGATCACATGGACAAGCCAGAAGACTATTAGAAGAATGTTTTGTGGATGGATGAGACCAAAAAAGAACTTTTTGGTTCAAATGAAAAGTGTTAAGGAAAACACTGCATTCCTACATAAGATCCTGATCTCGTGTGGAACATGGTGGTGGTGGTATCATGGTTTGGGTCTGTTTTGCTGCATCTAGGCCAGGACGTCTGCAGTTACTCAAAATAGTCTGGCTAATTTGCATCCCATGTCTCTTGGGTTTTCTGTTTGTTTGCAGATTATGAACATGATCAAAATTATGTTGTAGTTATGGTTTAAGTTGACTTAACAGATGAAACATGACCAGTAGGACCAAAGTCAAGTTTAAACTATTTATCTTTAATATTTACAAGATAATGAGAAATTGAGTGACTTTTTTTTTTTTTTCCTAGTTGATAACCACTCCACAAGTTCAAACCATATCAGATGTGCCAGGATAGGGTTAACAGCAAGAAGGTTGCAGATGTAAAGATGTTTCATTAAAAAATGTCTCCAGGGCAAGTCTTGTCCTTCTTAACTCATATTGTTGTAAAGTTGTGCAATACACAATCCCTGCAAATTGTACATTTTCTGCTGCCAGATGTACAGTGCAGGTATGTGCACACTTGCGTAAAATCACGTGAAACTATTATGTTTGTGCTCCAATTTTCATTAAATCTTTGTTGTATTTCAACTCTGTTGATTCAGATCGGATGGATGGTTGTTTACCACCTCAAGCTTTATCTGAGAGCCTAACAGGTGTCTGTAATACCGGCCCAGTCACGTCCTCAACTGTAATCCTGTATGCTCTATGAACGCTGATGATTTGTATGAGAAACGATTCATAATGAGAAAATATCATGAGATCCTTGTCCTCACTGCACCGAGAGAAGAAAAATATTAAGCTGTACTTTATGTTTAAACTGTGTTCCATATATTGATTGATTTTGGCTGCTATGTAGTCATGGCCAAAGGTTTTGAGAGTAACATGAAAAATATTTGTCATAAAGAGTTGCTGCCTCAGTGTTTTTAGATTTTCTTGTCAGGCCCTTCTGGATACTGGAGTATACATTCTAGAGTAAATGCAAAACATCATGAAAACAGAGTCAACAAACATCAAATAATTAATAATTGTGTTGTTCTTGAAACTTTGGCCACTGCTGCACCTTTTCAGCGATCCGTACCTAAATGGGGCTGTTCCTGAGGATGTTGTCTGCAGCAGTTCTGTTTCTTTGTGAGACACAGAACTAGGCCTGTCGCAATAAACAATAAATTAGTTAATCGCATGATAAATGAAAATTATCAATTTCATTTTCCTTTATCGGCTTTGTTTCTTCGTGTCTCTCTGTTTCTACTGAAGACACCGGATGACAAAAGGCTCAACTCCGGTGCTCTTCACTGACCCCTCCCTTTCTCTTTAAAATCCATTTTAACCGTCCAAAATTGCGTTTTTGGATCATTAAAAGCAGCTAAGCTGAGAAGCTAAGTTACGAGCTAAGCTAACAGGCCGACCGTGGGGAAAAAAACCTCTGTATTATCGAAGCTCCAAAATTCACAGTTGAAACGCGTGCCTTCGTGTAAAAAGTTGTTTTTCTCTGCAAAAAGAAACTGAGAAATTGTTTACTGATATTTTTTTTAATTAAAAGCTTTGTGTGAAAAATGCTATGCTAAAGAACTCATACCACACCAAGCGTCCGCCATTTTGAGAACTGAAGAAAGCAAGGAGAGACAGCCCATGTCATGTCAAGGGGCCTCCTTCCCATTTTTCTTAGTACACTGCTCGCTCCCTCACTATCCATCCTTCAGTTCACATCTTATACTGCCATACAGTGGTCAAAAAAATGTACTACACTCAAAATAAATTAACAAATATTTCTTCTTAAATTTGACAAAAATTACTAATTATTGTCAAATTTCAAACAATATTATCATTTATCACAATAATTTCCGAGATGATTAATCGCCCAGCAAAATTTGTTATCGTGACAGGCCTACACAGAACTTGAAATAAATTATGCTCTATAGTATTTCTTTAATCATACAGAAGAATGGCACTTAATTCTGCAACTTCTTTTCACCATCTTTCTGAAATCCATCCATCATCTTTACCCGCTTTTCCTTTTTGGGTCGGGGGGTGTCACTAGTGCCCATATCCAGCAGTCACTGTGTGAGAGGCAGGGGACACCCTGGACAGATCACAAGTCCCATCACAGAGCCACAAATCTCGGCTCCCAGCCAGGATTTGATCCGACGACCTTCTCGCTGAGAAGCAACAGCTCTACCAACTGAGCCTCTTTCTGATAAACCTTGAGTAATTCTAGTTTAAACTCAAGTTTTTCAGTAATAAAAGTATACACAAATAAAATTATTTCCTTCAGTTGCAATTATTTCATGTGCTCTAAAAGTAGAAAAGTTTAAAACATCAAACTTCCACTCTCATTTGTGTGGGTCAGCAGGCATGTTGGCTTTAAATGTTAATATTTTCACACTTGTGTACATTGATGCAAACACAACCTCAAATCAGCTGCTTTCCAGCTTCAAGGCAACAATTTTCAGAAGTTTTTTGGCACAGGATGTCTGTCCTTCTCAAACACAGGCGTCAGGTGTGGTCATTTCGCTGCCTACTCAAGCGTGCCACGCCACCTACACTGACAAAAACATTTTAAAAAATAAAATAAAACTTTCCCGTTTTCGCTATTGCTGAATCTTGTATGCACCTCATTTCATTGCATACACGTCAAGTTAATGATTTTTTTTGTAAATTATGGATTTTTCATGACTACAAACATACAGGGGGCGGCACGGTGGTGCCCGGGACCTTTCTGAGTGGAGTTTGCATGTTCTCTCCATGCATACGTGGGTTTTCTCCAGGTACTCCCGTTTCCTCCCACAGACCAAAAACATGCATGTTAGACCGATTGGTAACTCTAAATTGTTCCTAGGTGTGAGTGAGAGAGTGAATTGTTTTGTCTCGTTTGTCTCTGTCCCTGTGATGGACTGGAGACCTGTCCAGGGTGTCTCGTGACCTCTCGCACAGTGACTGCTAGATATGGGCACCAGTGACCCCCATGACCCAGAAAGGATGAGGCGGGTAAAGATAATGGATGGATGGAAACAAACATACAGGGAAATTCTAATGGACTTTTCAAAAACTCTGCTTCATATTAACGTTACGTCTCAGAGCCGGGCCTGTAAGTAAATACAAAGTTCGCCCCCTCGTCCTCGTCCTCGTCCTCCTCCCCAGCTTTCTGCTGTACCTGCTCTCCGACCCCTCATCCCTCACTGCTCCAGTGCTCATGTGAGCCCAAAATGCACAAACATGTATATGGGGCAGCTGTGGCTGAGTGGTTAGAACAGTCGTCCTCCAATGGGAGAGTTGGGGGTTCAATTCCACCAGCAGTCACCTGCCGAAGTGTCCCTGTGCAAGACACTGAACCCCTCATTGCCTCTGATGTGTGTCCCATTGGTGTATGAATGTGATAAAGCTCTGATTATTCTCTGTATAGATCTAGTAGAGTGTATGAATGGGTAAATGAGGGCACAGATTGTGGTATAAAGCACTTTGAGTATCTTGATAAGATAGTAAGGTGCTATACAAGTCCAGTCCATTTACCATTTAAACAACTAAAGCTCTCTGGTGCTCAGGAACAGAGGAAAGGATTAGAAGAGGGAAAACTCGACACAGACAAAGGTACAGGAAAAAAGTCAAGAAATGATTTCTCTGTTGCAGAAATATTGCGGTTTGATGATCAATAAAGTAAATTGTTGTTTGCACTTAACTCCAGTTGATGTTCTGCCGCTGCTTTAGCTGAGATGAAAACTAGTCCTGCATACAGACTGGTATCAAGACTTATTTACTGAGTACATTCACATACGAAATGAAATATTTTTGTCACTTTATTTTATCTTGAAAAACTAGGTTGTCCATTTAAAACACATAACGTTATATTGAATTTGAAACAGAATATCTGCCAACATTTGCTGATGTTAGGTTAAGACAAACATGCATTGTTAAAACAAATTATGCATTCAGGATTAATAAAATAACAACAATCAGTATATTATGAAGGTAAAACTGACAGCTGGCCTTTAAGCTGAACTTCATCCGAGATCATTCTTGAAAACTGCATTACCTTTTTTTTTTTTTACACTGAGCTCCATGCGTTTATCTTTACATCATACGGTACTTTTAAATCAACTATACCAGATAAAATGGCATAAAATATTTTAAGTGCAATTTGCTTGTTGAATACAACACAAGTTTAAGTACCCTTACCAAGAAAAAAAGAGTATTGAGAAACTTATGTAATTGTATTACTAAATAAACTACAAATACTTCCTAATAGCAAAGTTGCGAAGTCCTCTTACGTCACAGAGCACAAAATACAGCAATATCTGCACATAGTGTGATATGACAGGAATTATTCATAGACAGACAGGATGATAGAGATTACAAGCCCTGAAAACCAACAAGATGTCTGCTGTTATTTGCATATTAAAAAACTCTTGTCATGGCGTTATACACTATCAAGTACACAAAGAAATAGAAAATAAAAGCTCATCTATAGATACTTTTACTAAACATCACTTTGTTGACATTATTATTTGAATTGTGGTTTTGCCCAGTACATTTCTTCTTATTTTATGAAGAAAATGTTTAATACACAGTTTATTAGTCTACTGTATTTACAATGAAAAGACTAGAGTCAAATATAAACCATCAGAGATCATCACAGCAGATGTAATAACTAGATCTAAGTTACATTTAAGATTTTAATTTCATTTTTATTCTAATTTAATGAAAGGGCTAATAAAAAAATTGTAGGGTAAAATACTGGAAAATGTTTACCGTATTTTTCGGACTATAAGGCGCATTAAGTGAAACAAGTTCATTTTGACATATTTTTGAGTGCCATGTACCACATAAAATCAGTTTGAAGTCAGTAAGCACAACCAGAATTAATGCATAAGACACACTGGATTATAAGGCTCCCTGTTGATTTTGAGAAAATTGAAGGATTTTAATTGCGCCTTATCTTCCGAAAAATACAGTACTAATGCTCCTTTATTAGAATTTTACACAAACCAAAGTAAAGCAGGTCTGAGTCACATCAATGTGTTTTTACAGCAAGCCTGCATGCATTGCCTTCACACGCACATGCACACACAAAGGTTGTAGGCTCAATCATCCAGGTAGATAACAACAAAAAAGGTTAAATCATGTCATCTGGACCAGCACATGCTCAGTTCTGTGACTACCTGCATGACTCTGTTCCACTTCAGTACTTTAACACCAACACACAATAAGAGCTAATGGGGCTGAAAGTGCTGTAAGAAAAGGATCAGCGTTCTTCTTTCTGGGTATTTCATAAAACACACAAAAAACCAGATGTAATGTTATGCTTATCCTGTCTTTTATTATTATTATTTTTTCGTTTTTTAAGTTTTAGGGGAACAATATTTATTTCCTCTGTCTTGTTTCACCAGCTCCTCTCCATTTACACAAGATGATGGGAAGCTTCTGCATATTCAGCCCCCAGTGTTGGACTTTGGGACACAGTAAGTACTGCTCTTACTTTCCATTAAAAACACACACACTTCTCCATTTAATAAAAAAAAAAAAAAAAACACAATGAGAATTAATTACTTTTCTAGTGACCTGACAAGTGGTTCAAATAGATTTAATATCAAATACATATTTTACATTTTACAGCATACACATTTTTTTAAATACCATTTTCTTTCACTTGTTCTTCTCAATTAGTGTGTTTTATTTTACTTCATTACTCGTCTATTGTTGTCTTTGTTGTCTACTGTTGTCATCGCTCTGTTAAAATTAGGTCTCTTGTAAATGAGTCTCCGAGGCTCCAAGGGATTAACCTGTATAAATAAAGGTTGAATGAATATAATCACAAATACAAATAAGCACTTTGAGTATCTTGATAAGAGAGAAAAATGCTATACTAGTACAGTCCATTTACCATTTACAGAATTTGGCGATGACGTTATGGTGTCCTGCCAAGCAGAAGTATTAGACTTAAAATAAAATGGCTTTAATTGTTAAGATAACAAAAGGCATATCCAAATATGGCAGTAAGCTGGTTTTCCCAGCATTCACACATAATTCAGTCAGAAAAGGTTTAGAACTTGTTTGCCTTTATACATTGAAAACAAACTAGAAACCCCAATGCTGTGGCTGGACTGTCCCAGTTGGTCCTGTCCTGTAAGCAGTCCCATACATGCTTTATTTTGCTATATAATATATTTGGAGTGCTGGGACCAGGCATCCCAAATCCCAGCAGTATTGGAAAAATGTTTGCACACTTGAGACATAATTGCTTCAGGGAATTTATATTCATGATTTAAATGGGAATTTAAGACTAGAGAGGATTTCTTCCATCTTGTGGTTTCTTTTTTTAATGTTAGAATTGTGGGAACATTCATAGTGTTGAATGTGTACGAATCTCAAAAATGAGTGTATAAAATTATTATTATTATAGGGTTTGGAAAAAGCACCAACTCTAAACACAAAAAAAAACCCATAGACAAACAAAAGCTAGGAAGTCAAACTAATTATAACAACAGGAAATGAACAGTTTGCCGAAGAGAATTTTGCAGTATCAGAAGCTGATCCCATTTTGATCTGGCTTGGTAAGGAAAAAAAAAAGAGAAGCTATTTACACAACTTTGTCATTTAGTCCAAAGTTTGTTGAGTTTGTGATGCAGTCGCCTAAAATGAAATCACTTTCTCACCGGCAAATGGGAAGTGAAAGATGATTCAGTTGAGGCTTGACGAAATATCTGAGGACAAATCTTTTTAAGTTACTCTACATTATTCAAACCGCATTACTTGAATAAATCAAATGGTGACATGCTAAAAGCTTCAATTCATCTTTACATACTGAAAAAGCAACTTTTACATCCACATTTTAGATTTTGGTCTATTCATCTAAAATGCCTGTGTTGGTTTAATGGTTGGATTTTTAGAAGGAACTGACTAACACTTTATTTTAAATTTTAGTTGTGCTGTTTTAACTTAACAATGGGCAAACATCATAAAGTAATTTTGATATCACTAAACATTTGACATGCAGTTCTTAATCCAAACAAAGTAAGTTGTGTAGATGGTTCTGCGGGCAGAGAAAAATACAGTTTTAAAAAGAATCACTCTACTGGTGCAAAAATACTCATATGCTTGCAAAACTATAGTATTTGGTGTCTTTTTGTAGATGCAGCTAATAAAGTTTGAATAGATAGGTTTTTGTAAGAAGCCACAGGTGATTTTACAATTTGTCCTATACTTGACTGATATGTATAAAGACAACACTACCGTAGTTCATCCCTTGTGTTTAGAAGCTTGAAATAGGTCAGAATTTAAAAAGTAGATAAAGAAAAGTTGTCCATGCCTAAAAAAAAAATAGTTGGCAAATCTTCAGAAAGCATGAAAACTATCAGTTTTCAGTATTTAGAAATTCTGGCTAGTTGGAATCAAAATGTGATGTAACGTAATTTCCAGACTATAGAGCACACCCGAATACAAGCCACACACACTCAATTTAAAAAAACAAAAAAACAAAGAAAAAACAAAACAATTTTGTTCATATATAAGCTGCGCTTGTCTATAAGCCACGGGTGTTCAGTTTGTAACATGAAATATTTACATAGAAAGATTTTTTAAAACTTTTAATCAATTACGGACCGGTAATATACACAAATACGTACAGTAAGGGTTAGGCATAGTCCCCCCTCACATGCTCTGCACATGGGAAGGGGGGAATCCCCCCTTTTCCTCTTCTTTCCTCTTTTCCCATTTCATTGATTTGACAGTGATCTGTTCAGTAATTTTATTGGTCAGATTTTTAAAAAAAAATTTTACCTTTTGTTTATACAGGTAGTCTCATTGAGTCACGAGGACCCAACCCCCAAGCGAGACGTTTATTGGGCAGCTATTTGAGCACCCGGGTGCGACGAAACCAGATGTTTTTTGGCGGCACGAAGCTTGTTATCCCGTCAAAAAATAAACCCTTCTAAAAATACGCCCTTCTAAAAATTAGCTGCAGCTGTAAAATGTGTGGAAAAAGTAGTGGCTTATAGACAGGAAATTATGGTATTTAAAATGAAATATGTTAATAGGATTTTGTTTGTCCAGTTTAAATATAATGCATATATTAAATATTGGGATGATGGTCTTGTCAAATAAAACAAACACCCACTTAAAAAAAAGCAATCCTTGCTTTTAAATATATTTTAGGCTTTCACATCCCACTCTAACATATGCTAAATATTTATCTTAACCCAACTGAGCTATGAGCTGTTGGAGTATTTAAAAAAAAACCTTTGTAATATGTTCAGCAAGTACTTGGGTTACATTTTATTATTACAGTACTAGTTGAACTCTGACGTTTAAAACAATTACCGGTATGCCGTCTCTCTGTGCTTTCTTATATTTTGAAAGCAGGTTCTTTTTTTCAGTCTCATTGTTCACTATTTTCCTCAAAGCATGTCACAACTCATAGCTGCGTTTCCCCACTTGCGCTTGTGACACAACGAGAAAACAAAGAAATTGGCATAAACATTTCAATTATTTCCCCAAATGGTTGTGCCGCATAACGGCTTCCATTATTGTTTTTTACTCAGATAAAAAAAAAAGAAAGAAAAAGAATTCTAGATCCTTAAAAATGTGTGCTTTCCAGCATAGAAGTTCAAAAGTGAACAATAAGTCTCAGCTTTACAATTGTACTACCGGTGTAAAGCATTGATAATAACTTTTTTCTCTCTAGCACATGTAGCACATAATTATTGTTTTTTAATCCAGCCCTGTGAATTTGTTGTTACATCCCAGCCATCTAAAGGATGATAAATACACCATGAGGTTGTGCACAAACTTTTCATCAAAATTACTTGGACCTTAAATTATCCACAGATATGGTTGAAACTAGGGGTGTAAATCACCAGCTTTACCACGATACGATATTATATTGATTTGTTTGTATGACAATACGATTTTTCTCTATCGCAAAGTCTGTCACGATACACTTTTTAATCTATTCGATTCACAAGTCTGCGATCGATATATTGCGATATCAAATGCCCATCTCATTTACATATAAATAAATTTACAGAAACAATTCAAATATGATTTAACCATTTTATTTCTGTTATTACAGGCACCAGGCTTTTAAATTAAAAAACATTTTTTCTTAATTAATGAAAAAAATAAAAATGACCTGCTCAGTATAGTCTCACATTTCTCATGTTTAAGTGCATTTTTTTTAAATCAGTTAACTTAAAAGAGTCCTGATTACCTTTCAGTTATAAAGAAACACAAATAGATATTGAGCTTACATAACATGGCTATCAATGCCGTGTTTCTTCTTCAGGTGAGCGGCCAAATTTGTTGTTTCCTGAGTATTTGAACTCACACTGGCACCTGTTGCATACGACATGAGTTTTGTCTGTTGAGCCGTCTTTCTGTTGGAATCAAAAATATTTCCACAGAGTTGATTTAAGTCCAGCAGGAGAGTGAATTTCATTTTCTGTGTTTTCTGCCTCGTCTGCCATGTTGCTGAGGTGGCCGCAGAGCACAGCCACGCACGGAAATGATGACACAGACGTGCCTTGGGAATTTCAAAATAAAAGCATATTTTAAAGATGACGATATGAATCGATATTTTAGTTTTGCCACAATATAATTGAATCATTTAATCGATACATCGATTTAAATCGATGTATTGTTACACCCCTACTTGAAACAAAAAACCTTTTTCAATGTAAGACCATAAAGAGAAATATGAATTTATTTGGAAAGCTAATCACATTTTGAATTTATTATGTATTTATTGGTAACTTAAATTTTTTTTTTTTTGTGAGAGAACGTTATTCTATTATATTACAGCAAAAATTAACCAATCAAGACAGAGAATGTTTGAACTGATCTTATGCAATACTTTTTAACAACTTTCCTTATGTCCCTATTTGTGCATGTGTTTTTAAACCAAAGACAAGTGGCCTTTACAGATTAAAGCAACACAGCTTCTATTGTTACTCATCTAGTGAATGCAAATGACTTGTTGCTTCACCATGTTGCTGTTGCAGTGACAGAAAATTACTCTTAATTTGTCATATGTATTAATTAGTTACTACCTCAACATGTTTTGAAATGCATTCACCACATTCCTCACTAACAAATCGGGACTGATAAAACCTAGATGCTAGTTTTAAAGTAACGCTGTCATGCAGCAAAGAGGAAGTCAATCAATAAACTGATGGATTGATGTTGAGGAAACCATTTGATACTGGTCAATTAAAGCATATACCTTTGTTAATTTGTCCATCTGTGTTGTTCCTTAGATGGGAGTTCTGTGCAGTGTTCTATTAAATGGGCTGTTTCACCTCTCTACAGGCCGCTGGGGTTACCAGGAGCTGAAACCATATACATACACAACCCCAGTCAAGAAGTTCCTGTGACCCTGCTGTCGATGTTTACATCCAGCAGGCATTTTTACGTACCTTCCTTTCATAGGAGAGTAAGTGTGCAAGTATTGACGTTTAACATTATCTGTGTTCCAGTAATTTGTGTATCCTGTTAAAATACCATGCTTTAAGCTGTTTTTCTGTCTTTCTGTCTTAGGTTATCCCACCAAAAGGGAAGGCATCTTTTAAACTAATTTTCCTCCCATCCGAGGAGGGCAGTGTAGAAAACACATTATTTATAAACACATCAGCCCATGGGCTGATCTCATACCAGGTCAGTGTATATTAGTAATATCCTCTGTCTGCTGTGCTCCTTTTTAAACAATGTACGGGCCTTTTTGCTTCTTGTCAGTTTTACTACTGGTTACCAGCAAATAACTCCCATCAAGTTTTACACGTTTAGATTGCTTTCTTGTAATTTGTAGATTACAATCACATCTAACCTGACTACTGGTGTGTTGTTGTTTTATCTCTCATACTCAAATAACTATTTTTTTAAATCAGGAATTTGTTTGATTATAACTAATTATTAAGTCACGCTTCCAACTGCTGAATGCTCAGGATTTACACTTGAGCTCTAGTTCCTAATTATTTAATGTTGTTTCACTCTCTTTGGTGATTCTTCCATCTAAGCTGTGTCTAAACGCAGTTAGCTCAGATTTTACAGGATCAATATGACAATTTAAATTCAAATTTATTGTGTACAGCTTTCAGTGTTCATCTTGGGTAAAGTTTATAACACAAAAAAAGTTTGCTGCATGTTCAAGATTGGAAAGTGCATTTAGATATTTAATGCATAAAGTTTATTTTTTTTAATTTGGCAACTTTTACGAATAGGCTTTATACAAACAGAAGCATATTGAATAATTTTGATTTGAATTGAACTGGCCTGTATGTAATTGGGCTTAAATTTGTTTGCTTTCTTGAAGTTCCTTGAGATGTTTTTTGTAGTAAAATTAGTGCTGTACAACTAAACTGGATCAAATATTTGTTTATGCAGTAATTTTAACTTTAAGTCACTGGACATTAGACGTAGACTTTTATTTATCAATGATTAAACAAATGCAAGTGAGAAACACTAACAGGAATTATTTGAAATGCTTTGTAAGTATGTACCAAACTGAGAGTGTTGCCTACCGGTAATCAAGGTTAAACATACAGAGCATTCAAGAAGGATGGAAAAAAACAAGGATAAAAAACGATTACCGTACTTTCTGCCTTAATAGTCGCAACTCCATATAAGTGGCATCAGTCCAATTATGGATAATAAAGTGGAAAATGTTGCATCTATTATGCGACACCGCTGACGCGTCGCGTTTGTTACGCGACAGCGCTGACCACCGGAAAACGCGGGTTGGTGTTGTGCCAAAAATCGATTGGCTGCCAAAAAGCAGCTGCGGGAGCGTGCACGGGAGGACTTTAACAAGAATTTAACAAGATTAACACTTAAAAACAATTATTTGTTTGCTCAACATTATACTAAAGGTGTGTCTCAGTTGAACTTTTACTTAATAGAGTCACTTTAATGTCAAATAAGCTGCATTTCACCTGGGCAGCACGGCGAAGTGCAGCTCCAGGAGTTCCAGAGCAAGACAAAGGTGGCTTTGTATGGCAAGCCAAATGTCTCATTAATAGCCTTTTTTACTTATTATTGAGACACTTGGCTTGCCATATTGGTTGAGGGCCCTCTAGTGGCTGAAAATGGTAGTATTCAATATTTTCCATGTCAGAATGAATGAAATCGTCAGATCTCAGCCAAAAATTGGTTTATAAATATGGGGAGGGGGGAAATGTAAATAAGTCGCTTCGGACTATAAGTCGCAGGACTTGCTAATTTATGCAAAAAAATGTGACATATAGTCCGAAAAGTACGGCAATTTCGTACCCTATTTGAGTGTGTTGTATAATCTGGTGTTTTATTTTGTCCCATATCAAAACAAGTCCTCTGACTCGCTCGCAAAGCCTCAGCTTTCTTCACCTCTTTTAAAGACATAAAAAGTCAAACATTTGGCTCCAATCTGAGCCGTAATCTCAGCTACTGTTGCAAGTTATGTTTAACACAACAGAATTACACTAGTTCTTTGCTCATTGAATATTTATAATGCATACACTAGTTGAAAACTTTCTTTTCATATGTAACTTGTATCTTTGTCAGGTTTTTGGTGTGGGAAGGCATCAAGCGTCACTAAAATCTCATAGAAAGGATGGTCTTCTAATATTTCCTCACATCCAGAGCATTAAGCTGACCCAAACTCAGGTGTGTATTTAAATGTTTGTGTAATTGTTTGTGATGGCCATGCACAATTGTGAATAGCAGCTCATCATTGTAAACAGCTGATTTCCTTTTTCCTGCATGCCCAGATAAACAAAGCTACACACACACACACACACACACACACACACACACACACACACAAGAGCTTTTCACTGTCATTGAATTACTGGATGCCTGTAGATGTCAGCATAAAATTAGAAATGTCATTGTTTGATTCCTGTGCAACCACAGTGTTCAGTGTTAAAATGTTTAACATTTCATCTACAAACATTTCACAGTAATGCAAAATTAAACCCAATGACTAACCCATAACTAGTTTAGAGACTAACAAATGTAGTGAAAGTGTGTAGAGAAGCATCTGGGAGGCGTTCTCCCCTCCACAACAGGAAGTGGGGTGGGAGTTGCAAAATGTCAGCTTGGTTGTGAGACATCAGCTCTCAAAATCACTATCACTTCATTACTTACTAATATTTATTTTTATCTCAGCAGCATTGTTTCAAAATATAGTTTACAAATAACTGTCTTTGTTTAAAACAGATTTATGTCCGCTTTTGCATTTTTGGTTTCTTAACAATTTTTTTTTTGCCATGTAGATTTTCACAAAAAGGTACAAATATTTGAATACTAATGTTTCTCTCCATTTAACTCAGAACGATCTCATGACGTTGCATACAAAAAGAAGCTTTAGGGCACTTTTGTTGAATTGATAAAAACTTTTCTGTAGTTTTTATACTGCTCAAACTAGATAAAATACTTAGAATGAAAGTAAAACAAAATGTATTTCAGTGTGTCACTTTTTCATAGTACAGTAGTCCCTCTCTACTTCGCATTTAGTTTTTCGTGGACTTGCTCTATCGCGATTTTTCAAAATAAGATTGGACATGACACACAATGTGTTGATTGATGGATGAGCTGCACGATCGGCATAGAAGTTTTATTTAAAATAAATTATTTTAAATTATTTAGCACATCCTGCACCTCTGTTCAGCCCACACTGCAGGATAAGCTTGCTCCTGCAGCTGATCTCCGTGCAGAGCGGAGAAGTGGGCGTGGCCAAGAGTGTTTGCAGGTGGCTGACAGCAGCGGAGGCAGAGAGCTGAAATCATGACATTCTGTGCTCTTTTTATTTTTTATAGCATTTAGAAACATCGTTTAGAATATTGCAATAGTGTGGGAAGGGTTTAAAGTGCTTAAATTTAAAAAACTGTATGTATGTATATATATATATATATATATATATATATATCAACCTTTATTTAGACAGGTAAATCCCATTGAGCCTCGAGGACTCATTTACAAGAGAGACCTGATTTCAACAAAGAAAGATGACAACAATGGACAACAGCAACAACAATAAACAGTTGTAAAAAGTCATACTGCATGTTTTTTTTTTTGTTTTTGTTTTTGTTTTACAAATAGGATGGCTAAAAGGAAAAGGTAACAAAAAAAAAAACAGCTAGATTCTAAGGCGAATGTAGAAAACTAAAAACAGGAACATGTCTGCATTGGTCCCTGCCAGTAGTCCAAGAGATTCTTAAAGCCACTTAGAGAGGTCAAGGTCAAGGCCCTTATATATATAAGGGGTGTAACAGTACGCTAAAATCACATTTCGGTTCGGTTCAATTTCAAGGAGGGCTCGGTTTGGTTAATTTTGGGTACAAAAAAGGACAAAATGAAGATTTACAAAATGTTTATTTTGAAAATATGCCAAGTAAACAATACGTTTGTATAGAAATAAATAAAGTGACCCATTTGGATGATATTTTAAATAAACAGCACTCTTTACAATAAATAAACTATACTAACAATAATAAAAAATCTTAATAAATACAATAACAGTCAGAACCAGAACAATAAGCAGAAACAGACTGTTTACAATCTAACTAATTAAGTTTAAAGTTTTTGGCCAAAAAGACCAACTTGTTCACATTTTCTACCAAAAGCTCAGATCTAGTTGCAGTGACATTATCTCCATCGCTGGAGGAAACTGCTCACTAACAACAGTAGCAGGAATAAAGAGGTAGAGCTTTGCTAATGTTGCAGTGTGGCTGTATTTGGCCTCATCAATACTCACGGCCTCTTGGACCTGCTCCCACAGGTGGGACAGGTCCCTGGAAAAGTTCAGAGTTCACTCATCACACACTTCTTAGCTAGAGGTGATCTCTGGTGGATTTCCTTAAGAGGAAGAAGACTCAGCTGCTATCTCTGTCCCAGACTGGAAATAAAAAAAACACAAATAGGTTAAAAAAAAAAAAATGCGTTGATAAGATTCTAATTTTAAATTTAAAAAAGTTAATTAGATAATAATAAAATAACAATACCTCTTCTTGAACGGTCATCATTTCTGTTAAGAGGTAGTTGAATCTCTCGTTAATCATCGTCAGGGAACGGCTTTAATCTGGTCCAGAGCTTGTAGACGATCAGTTTTAGCTTTTTCATAAAAGTGCTGCTACAACTTTTTGGCTGAAGTGTTGACGTGATGTGATGTCGTAGCGGGGCTCAGTAACTTTAAAGCCGGCGCATCAACAAGAAACCTAGATCCAGAGCTTGAAAAACTCCTACAGCTTGTGTTATTGCACTGGACCGATCTGAATTACCTGATAAAGGTTGTTTAAATGCTGCTGTTATCGGTCTTTGCACCACGCTGCTAGAAGAGATGTTCACGTTCAGATAATGTTGTTTCAAGTGTGTTAACAAGTTAGACGTGTTGCTGCTGCAGATCCACTCTTGGTGAAACAACGTTGACACACAGCTTTGGATTTGTTCACTTGTCTTTTAACAAGAAAGTCATAATGTTCCTAAACAGGAGACCGCAACGAGATGCTAGGCTGCTAATGCTACGCGTGCTTCAAGATAATAGCGCCGTGCTGAAACACGCTTAGGAATTTTAGTTCCGTGGCGCATAATCTCTCGTTAATTAAATTTAATGAGTAAAAAATAACCGAAACGGTACGCATGTGGACTGAACCGAACGTGCCGTACCGAAACAGTTCGGTACACCCACGTGTACCGTTACACCCCTAATATCTACTTGTACTACTATCCCTACTTTGTGTTTTTCCACTTATCGCGGGTCTTCGGGGTACGGATCCCTCGTGAAAAACGAGGGACTACTGTACACAGTAAAAATTAGAAAAATAAAAGGGAATAGAATTGTGGTAATAGCAACTTGTCTTAGTTTGTTGAAATAGTTTATCACACCAGGTTGTAGTCTCATTCCTTCACAGTACAATACATACAGGTGCTTAAACCAATGCAAAAACCTCAGTGATTACTTGTTATTTTCACTTTCTCTGGTTTCTGAGGCCTGTATCCTAACTGGAACCCTTTGTGCTTTTTTTTCCTCCCTTTAGCCACCAAACAAATTTTACAAGCAATAAAAATAATGGCTGTGTCTCGGAGCTTGACCTTAAAAATGACACGAGATGTTCAAGTGAAACTTTTATCTTTCACTATGTAGTTCACTTGTTGACAAGATGTTGCATTGACTTTGGTTTATTTGACACGCTGTCGGGGTAACATAAAATCCTTTCCCAGGGTTTTAAGATTGGTGGTTGTTACAAATCATAAATGCTGTTAGTGGGAGCGTCCCAATTATTCTGGTGAAATTCCAAAGTTCTGCCACTTTTCAACAAAGCTAAAACATTTGATAATAACTGAAGTAACCTTGGAAGTCCAATCACAATTAAACCAACTGAGAAACTTGGTGTTGCCGCCGGCATCATCTGTGTAAGTTTAAAAAGATACTAACATTGAAAGTTGCTTTCTGTAGAAAGTATGAAAATCTGAGTGACCGACGAAGTCCTAACCTTGCTAGAGCTTTAACATACCAATATTTAGAGACTTTTTTTGTTTTGTTTTGTTTTTTGTTGTGAACATGTGAAAGGTAGTTTTAATGTTTTAGGTTGTTGTAAAACAACGCTTGCAAATAACCTTTTGATTTCCACCTATGACTGTGTCATGAGACCTTCAAAAGTTGCCTTCTTAACCAACTAAATACATTATAGCGGACTATAAGCACCAGATTTTACATGTACCATAAAAGAACAACTAAAGAGAAAAGGCTACTAAACACCAGGTTTTTTTTTGCTCCTGCAGGAAGATGCCTCCAACATCACTATTCTGGGTCTACTCCTGGAATGCAGCTTTTCGAAGAGTTTACAAAGCAACCCTCAGGTAGTTCTTTCTGTTTCAATAGTTAACACTCTGTCAGCTGGTGTTTCTTTAAGAAATGTTTCATCATTATGCATCCTTGAAATAACTCCTTTAACACAGTTTAATGTTATTTTACCTACTGTAATTGCCACTCTATAGAGCACATCTGAATATAATCCACGCACAGCAAATAAAAAAAAAAGTAAACAATTTTGTTCATATATAAGTCACGCTTGTGTATAAGCGGCGGGTGTTCACGTTGTAATATACGTGGCAGCGCACAGCTCCCATACTGGAGGTGAAAAGTAGAGGACAGCTGTAAATTAAAACTTGTTACTTTTCATCAACTAACATAATCATGAAATATTTGTTGTTAATTTTGAATATTTATCCAATAATTCCTTTTTTTTAAACAGTAATTGAGCAGTTTTTATCAGTTACTCTTGTGTTTGTAGTTAATCATGCTAAATGCATAACTATTTTTTTTGCCCATAAAAACAGAAGGATAGACAAAAAAAAAAAAACTGAACAGAAAACTAGTGATAACATTGGATTTTTGGTCAATATCCGATATGTTGAAACTTATTTGGCCAATAACCATTTTTTATATACTTTGTCTAAACATAGCCCTCTTATTTAGGCTTATTTGCTACAAAACTTGTGTAAGAGCTGGTGACATATATTCAGTAACAGCCATATGCATAGCACTTTAACTTATATTAAATGAAAAGTGTTAAATGTTATTTATTAGCATTAGTTATTTGCGATGCTGTCTCACTTGTGGAGGCTTGTTCCAGGTTCCTAGCTGCAGTGCGGGATCCTCTGCACTCCTGTGCATGAAGGACAGACTTTTTAAGTTCAAAGTTTTTGTCTATCCATTGTGCCGTAAGACTAATCATGCTGACGGGGCTAACACAACATCAGATGTCCGTGGTAAAACTCACCCAAATGCTATCGGCTATTAGCTTCTCCATGATGTCAGAAATGACGGCTTGTAACTCGGGTAAGGTTACGTCGGAAAAGGAAAAACATCTCAGACTGGAGATGATGTAGCGAGGCTCAGCATAGTCCAAAAATCTTCAGAATCTGACATCCTCAACAACAAAAAATAAAACTTCAACACCGCCGACATTTTGAATTTTCCTCTCCGCCGTGATCAGATCAGGTAGGTGTGCATGACGTCATCACGTTGTGCTGCGCTGCAGTCATCCTTGTCACTGGGTTGTCTTACAAAAACAGCGTCTTTTATATCTGCGAGTTATTTTGATAGAATGGCCGATGTCCGATATTGAACTTTAACGCTAATATTGCCCATTACCAATACCATGCTGATAATATTGTGTATCCCTACAAGAAACTTGAAGCAAATAAAATTTGTCTGATGCTAGAGAGAGCTGGTGATAAAATATAGACACAATCTAGTACAAGTATCTCAGATGTTTGATTGTACCATCTCATTATGTATGTATTACATACTTGTAGTAATAATAATGTTTAATAATCTCTATTGTTGACATCTGAAGAGTGTCAGGGTTTCCATAAGTTTTTCCTGTCAGTTTTCCTTTGGTTGAGGACTTGCAGGCTTGTTGCTCTTCTTCTGCACCTCTGGCTGGCAAATTGGCTTCAGTCATTTCTCTGAGCCAACACTGTTCTCCTAATGATAGCAAACAGCAACATGTCTATTACAACACTTTTGTTTTGCAGGCTTTCTCAAAAACAAGTCAGAGTTTTAAAGTGTTAACTAAGCTGTAGTCTCTATTCCTTTTAACTATATTTCTTGTGTCCTCATTAGTCTTCTCGTGTCCATCTTTCATTTTGTTTGGTGTATGACTGGTATGCCTTTCCTGTTTCTTCTCAGGGGTCCTGCCTCCAGAACGAGGAGCGCCTCAGTCTGCAGATTAATCTGTCGGCTCGTGGTGACCAGCCTGCTGACCTGGACAAACTCAAGCCGTACATCATCGAGCACATTTTGTTTGTGCTGATCGCTCCTAACGTTGGACCGGCTTCACATGGTGGGTTTCTAAGACCTCTAGTCGTCCAGTGTCTGAGAGCATCTGAGAGTATCACAGAAGCAAAGCAACCGGTCTGTTTGATGATTTAAAATTATGTTTAAGTATGAAAAATCAAACATTAAAATTTTTTTTTTTTAAATCAGCCTGAGGTCACTCTGTAGGCCACGCTCATGTTCACAGCATTTTTGTTTACAGTAAAACAAATGATCACTGAATACCAAAATATTTTTTTTGCATCGTTATACCTGGAATATGTGCATTTTTAATTAATCTGTGTTTTATCTTACAGCAGATGCAAAAATAGAAGTTTATATGTTAAATTCTGGAGGGAAGAAGCTCTACGTAAAGGTGAGAATTTCTTTTGACCTCGTTTTGTCATCGACTCAACATAAACTTATTCTTAGTTTTACAAGATGTTGTCTGTCTCCAGGACATGCAGGTGTTATCAAAAGTGGAAGCCAGCCTAAACTTTAATCAGGTTCTTCTTAAACCAGAATCAAAAAACTTCACTCAAGTGGCCACTTTAGCATGCAAAAGTAACTACTATGTTATTTTAACTCTTTTTTTTTTTTTAATAAGTAAAATGACTTTTTGTAGTTAAACAGCTCAAAGCTGATGATCTTTGTTATTATCAGGTTCATTGCCAGATCATGGACAGAAATGTACGAGTCATATCACTTTAAAAATAATGGAAAACAGGACAGCGTACAGCTTTCCTGGACTGCATATCAAACACAGGTAACATCATGTTTATTTACACTCCCTAAACTAGACGTTTTGGAGTATTCAAACTTCAAACGTTTGGCAGCAAATTTGTATTTAAACTTCTGTTTTGACAAAAATGAAAATCCCTCAGAAATTGTTAAAACAATCTTTTTTTTTTCCTAAACATGGAAAATGCATGAAGATGCTGTTTTTAATGTGGAGTCCATTTGTACTTTTTGCAGATGGACTGTTGGGGATCTGTTCAGTCTTTTTCAGGTGAGACAAAACAACACCAACCAGGTGGACCTGTGGTTCTCCAACCCTTTCCCCCTGCCTCTCACTGTGAGGAATGCCAGCCTCTCAGAGAAGCTCCAGGCTGTAGTGAAGGTAGGTCATCAGTATATTGTGTGCTGATGAAAAGCAGATACTGTGAATGTGGTGACATATTTTGTCCAGGAACACTTTACTGGTTTATCAAACCTGAAGCTGAGGCCCATCTATGACAGATAGTCTCTGCTCCCCTCTGTCTGTCAGGTTATGAACTTCAGCAGTCCACTGATGGTTCGTCAAGGCTGCTGGCGCATCTTATCCCTTCAGTTGCTCAACAAGGCTCTGCCCATGAACCAGATGTTGACTCTGAGTCTAGATACCAGTTTGGGCGCATCGCTGCACATTCCTCTATACTTCCATCCTTCCCCTTTGTCTTCCGAGGTGAAATGCCAGCTCATTTACGCAGTATTTAGATTAGATCTATAAAATCCATCAAAGGTTGATGATTTGTTGTTTGTCATCAGGTTGACGTGGTGTTTGAGGCTCAGCAAGAGTGTGGACATCATTGTCCTCTTAGGTTATCTGTAGCAGGTACAACTTTGACCTTGATACTTATTTTTGTGTAAGACAAGAGTTGACATTCTGAAGAATTTTCTCTTTTTGTTTTGTTTGCCAGGTCATTTGGAGTGGCAGCGCTCACTTCTCCCAGATTCTTTCACCTCATCTTGGGCTGTAGATAGCAAACTGGCTGCAGAGCTCTGCTCTCGATGGCAAACTACCAAAGATAAAGTGTCTTGCAGGTCAAACGTGAACCAAACCGACGTCCAAACGTTCTTTTTCTTTGTTATTCAGCATTATTAACAGAAATATTTGTCTTCTCAGGTGGCCCAGGCTTCCTGCCGAAGCCTCGTCTACTTTAGACTTTGGTGCCACTCCTGTCAATGAGAGCAAAGTGAGCAACGTGTTGTGATTGTTTACAAAATTACGTATTTAAATTTGACATATTTTGAGTTTTAGCTGTGAAATTTGTCTAAAAGAATCTATTATTCTATCATGTCTAGGTGAAGACATTCATGCTGAAGAATCCTACATCATCTGTGGTTTCTGTAGAGATTCGAATCCTCTCCCTTTACCCTTCTCCCCTTGAGGCTCTGGACCTTCTAACCAAATGGTAACACTGGCATAGCTGGTCTGATAACAGCAAATAAATCATAGGTATCCTGATGTATGCTCAATAATCCAGGTAGAAAAATCTAACAAAGTTAAGTCAGGTTCTCTGGATGGATTAAATCAAATAAAAAACTTGTTGAAAAGTTTCGTCTTTAATCCAAAAGACTTTGTCAGTGTGAGGAGCTGCACTAAACTCCGGGGCCGTTTACACGGCACGTATTTTGAGTGAATCCGCTTCTTTCTCTCTGCGGTTCTGCTGTTCATTTACACGACACCAGTGACCCCCTTCTTTGAATCCGGAGGTTTCTGAACCCACCTTCCAGAGTGGAGGTTTTTCACTGACCGCCCGCTGATAATGTAAACATCTCCCGCTGAGGCTTTGTGCTAAACCACATGCGCACACGCACGCGCGGACAGACAGCATTTCTATCAACATGACGGTGAACACAGTGCTTTCTGAACTACGACTGATGGAATATATTTTTAATCTCGTAGTTAATCTACGTCAGATTCTAGGTGCTGTGACCGACATCTGTGCTGGAAGAGACAATCTGATCCAGTTCTAATGTCGCTTTTTACAGAACGAGGCACGCGCACACATCGCGCTGCACTATAACATACTAAATGTGCTAAATAACAGTTTAATAATAATAAACAGCATTTATGTTGGTGTGAGATATACAGTATAATGATGCTCTCTGAGCTAAATGAAGCTATCTGGACATTATGTAATTCAAATTATGTGATTAAAATGATACAAAACATATTGCTTGTTACTAAAGTTGAAAATGGAAGACATCAGGTTTCATTTTGTATTTATTTATTCAACACCACAAACTGTGTCACACAAACACTGATAATTAAACTGAACACACTGTTAAAAACAAGTTGACTGTAAACTGCATTAATGAACTGGACTCTGCTCTGTTTTCATCCTGGATGTCCCACATTGTTCATCTGGCTCGTTCAGGCTGTCACTTCTTTGCTTAATGCAGCTTAAAACAAATGGATTGAATAAAAGAACTGAGGAGAATTTTAAATAAATAGTTCATTCAACATCTGTCTCTTCGACGTCCTCCTGCACTTCACCTGGGCCGAGCCTCGTTCAGAACCGCTCCGCCTGGTGGAAGGACAGCTTCTTCTTTCAGGAAAAATAAAAACTCGGTTGTTGTTGTGTGATCAAAGTAAACGCAAACAAACATTATTAAAAACGCTGATTTACCTTCTGTAAATCAGCTACTGATTATCACGGAGTAAAGTCCGACATCGTCGACTCTGTTCTGGTCCACTCAGCGACCGGTGTGGAGCTGTCAGATGAAGCGGTCCCGCTTGGCGTCAAATCTGTCGACTCTTATTCAAAATCCAGCTTTAACTTGTTGTTAGCTGAGCTTGTAGCCCAGAGGAAAGGAGTAGACCGAGGCAGCACGCATGCGCATTAGGTGAATGTACAAAATTCACAGCACCAACTAATGACCCGGCATGGTAACTACAGCAGATTCGGGAGGGCGGGGGGAGAATCCTCCGGATGCATGTAAAACACAAAATCCGTCCGTGTCAACGCGGATCTTTTCCTCTAATTAACATACGAAAAAAAACTACATTTCCCCCCATCATGTCCGTGTAAATAGGGCCTCAGTCTTATAAATGGCTCCTTCTCAAAGTGGATCAACCAGTTTGCCAGAACTAGCTGTTCACATGATAAAGGAGGACCATCATGGTCACTTGCTATTTACAGAGAGCTGAGTGATACTAGTAATAACAGCATTGTAAGAATGTGCTGTTATTGCTAGTTATTGCTATTGTTTCCTCTTTTGGATAAAAGACCAAATGTGTTGACAGGTTTTTTTTTATTTTAATTTTTTTTTAATTCTTTGAATCTGTCCAGAGGACCTGACTTAACTTTGTTAGATAAATCAAATAGGGTGGTTTCGTACTCATTTTTCAACACATCTGAAGTTTTGTTGTTTGTCTGGCAGGTTTAATATCAGCTCCTTCTCTGTCAACATTAGCACAACAGAGTTTTCTCTGTTGGCTTCTCCTCACAAGGTAAACATGAAAGCAGTCTATGACTCATTTGTGTTTACAAATCTTTATTTTGTTTTATTTATTTTTTCAGTTTTACTCTGTTTCCTTTTATAATAGCATTTTCTTGCTGTTTTCTGGCCTACAGGCCGGTGAAAATGTAGCAGCGTCAGGAGAAGGCGTCCTGCATCTGCTGCTCCAACCCTGGGAGAGCAGAGAGGTTGCTGTGGCCTTCACCCCCTCTGCACACAAACCTGTTACCACCATTCTAATAATCAGGTACTAATTCACTTTTGAATAATTGGTCACGTGCACTAGGTTTGTTCACATTACCTGCAGAAAATGTTGGACACTTGCTACTTTGTACATTTTATTAAATTCTATTTTGATATGTCTCCAAAAGAACAAAAAGTTTATTAGAAATATTTCAAGCGTGGCTTTAGTTCTAAATGTCTGTTTAATAATGTATGTAATGTCTGTATGTGAATCTTTGTTTTCCAGGAACAACTTGACAGTGTTCGACATGATGACTGTCCAAGGCTACGGGGCCAAAGAGCTGCTGAGAGTTGGAGGGAAACTTCCCGGCCCCGGAACATCCCTGCGCTTCAATGTTCCTCAGTCGACTTTAATGGAATGTCGTGATGGTGAGATTACTGCTTAATTTTAATATAATGTATATAATATTAATGAATGCTAGTATTTCTCCTATTGTTAATATAAATATGTTAGGAATGTTCCAAGTGAGTAATACTAGTGTTTGTCACTGACAGGTCTGCGCACCAGTAAGCCTTTGTTTGCCATTAGAAAGAGTTTTAAGGTGGAGAATGCAGGAGAGCTTCCTCTGACTGTCATGTCCATGAACATAAATGGTTACAAGTGTCAGGGATTTGGCTTTGAGGTGCTGCAGTGTCGTTCCTTCAGCATCGAGCGCAACACTTCCTCTGAGATCACCATTGCGTAAGAAGAATTTTAATTCCATCATTTCTTATTTATTTAGTACTTCAGCTTTCCCTCAGTCTTTCCCGTGCTGTGTCCTTTTTATATCTCTTTTGTCCAGTTAATCACTTGGTTTTCTTTGTTTATGGTCTTTTTTTTTTTTCTCATCTGTTTTCAGGTTCACTCCAGACTTCACTTCATCCTGGGTGATTCGGGACCTCACCCTGGTGACATCACGCGGCACCGCTTTCCCCTTTACTCTGAACGTAACGTTGCCCCACCACATGTTACCACTCTGTGCTCAGGTGGTTCCCGGCCCCAGCTGGGAGGAAACCTTTTGGATCTTCACCCTCATTTTTACATGGTTGGTGTGGATATCTTGAATATTAATTGCTTGTTGTTTAAAAAAATTAGATGATTTTCTTTTTTTTTATGTTCACAGAAAACGTTTCACGGCTTATTTTTTCTTTAAACGCTTCAATCTTTTATGAACTTCTCATGTTGTATTTCTGCAGCTTCTCCTTGGTGGGTGTGTGTCTGATGGCCTTCCATCAGGCGCAGTACATCCTCACAGAGTTCTCATCGCCCAGCATCAGGAGCAATCACAACCCTGTTCTGTCCCAAGACAACAGCGCAGTCAATAATATCACACCCAATGGAATGAAGTATGTTCTAGGTTTTATATGTTAAAACATAACATTTTTGGTGTTAAAATACTCAAAAATGCCATGTTTTGTGCTTAATGTCGGCAGTAAAATAAAGGGTAGCTGTAAGACGTATATGGACACCTGTCACACGTCTGATAAAAAGGGGCGTGGCTCCTCATCTTTGGCCAGCCCGGCCCCTCGCTCTCAATCCTCAAAGAAAGGATCCTCGACCACTCCTTCTCAACAACAGCAAAAGAAACGCAAAGTTTCGCTCTATTACACCAAGTACAAGCCCAGCTCATCCCCAGCTGCAGCTGTGGATGAAGAGCAGGATGATGTGACGCCTGAAAGTCCTGTCACCCCAGACCCCTGCATCAGCAACCAAACAGCTTACCTCACCGAGCTGAATAAAAACACATCCACGGACTGTAAAGAAGACCTTCAGGGCACGGTTGAAGATGGGATGTCAGCAGCAGCTATGTTTCCCATGGAAACGCATGCTGGTTTCCCTGGTGATATCACACTGGGTCCTGGACCCAGACCAGGCTTGTTAATCTGCAGTCCTGTGGAGAGAAGCTGCTCTGTGCTTCACTCAGACAAGACCAACTCTGAGAAAAGGGACAGTTCTGAGCTGGAGGTACGAATGCAAAAACACTAAGAAACTACTTAAACCACTACTTTAATTAGTTCAGATGACAAAAAAAAGATGAAACGCTTTGTAAAAAGTCTGAGTCTGTTTATTTTTTTACAGGTGCAATATGGAGAAGATGTCAAAACTCAGAAAAAGAAAGCACTTAATACAGAAGGTGGCACTGCAACAGAAAATAATAAGGGAAAAAGGAGTCGCAGGAAGGCAGAAAATGTGTTGAGGTGACTGTAACACTAGTTCATATGTTGATAATAACTTTATATCTTTAACATCTTTTATTTGGCCATTTAATAAACTAAGAACTTCTATTAAATCAAAGCTCCAAGTGAATACAAGCTCTTTTTTTATGCATTTATTTCTCTGTAGTGCTCCTGAACAAAAAGTTCCAGAGAGGGAGAAAGAGCCTGACTGGAAAACTGGGGGCCGCAACATAAATGGAAACCGCAGCAGGAGCCACTGCTGCAATGGCTTCAAGGCAGACGTGCTAAAACCTGTACAGAACGTAGAGAACCCCCTCAAACAGAATGGTGGGGGCTTTAATCTAATGCACTGCAGAGTGTGATGGATTTAAAGTGACTGGTAACAGAAAGACCCTCTTTAGTTTGATGTCACTGACCTTTTCTCATTTCTGGCAGGTGTGTGTCCAGCTCGCAGTCGCAGAAAAGTCACATCAGATCGGCGTGCAGGGGGCGTGTGCGAGTCAAGTTCGGACTCTGGCAGCTCGTCGGGTAGCGTGAGGGCAAGCAGAGGCAGCTGGGGGAGCTGGAGCAGCGCGAGCAGCATGGAGGGAGACAAGGAGCACAGCGCTCGAACACACACCGGCTCTACCTCATCTAGAAAAAGTACAAAGCACCAACAAACCACTTTCCCACTGAAAACCTGTTTCTGTATGCAGTCGGTCTCAAAGTGTTCCTCAGTTTGATAAACGTTCGTCCTCTAGATCAGAGGTTATTATAAATTTATAACAGGTTATATTATATTTGTGTGGTGGTTTGACATTATTTTTCTTGTTTTGTTTTTTCCAGGAGACTCCATGCAGTTCACTGTGTACCCCTCAGAAAGAGACTGCTACCAGACTATGAATAATAATTACAAGGTTTCAAGGTATTTTAGCATTTAAACACGTATTTACTGAAAAGTTTGCAGGTTTTCCAAAACACATTTTTTAAAGGATTTTTTTAAGGAGTTGCAACTTGTTTTTTTTTAGTACAAAAGTGTTTCAGGTTTTAAATCTCCTACAAACATGCATAAACTTTTAGTCATTTAATGTCTATAATAAATTAAATAATGTGGTTACCTTTGACCGTCCGGTGGTTTTACTTAAGAAAGTTATGACTCCAAGATTCGATGTGCGTCTAAATACATTGGAAAATTACTCCAGTTTAAACAGAGAAAAATAGATATTTTAATTTTGCACAGAAACTATTTTTACCCACCTTTTGTTTAGAGCATTATTACAAGGATTGTTTTACAGCAGAAATTTGATTTTAAATTCAAATAAATATGTGTTGAGCAAAACTTAACAGTTACTGGTAGTATCTTCAGCACCAAAACAATTAAAAAGATTAATTACCAGGAAGATGATGCAACAAAGTCAGCATGCCTCTCTTACAAATCTATTTTTATTTAACCAGTTTGTCAAGGACACATAGCAGCTTTTTAAAATGGAGAACGCTGTTGATGTTTTATTTTTTTTATTTTTCAGCACAAACAGCGTGTACAATGAAGAGATGTGCCAAAGCTCAGACCCCACACCTTCCAGTTTTGTCCCAAGTTTTGCCGATGTTGCTGCAGGAATGGACAGGAATATGGGTAAAAACAAGCAGAAACTGGATTAACCCTGAAAAATACTCTTCTTTTTTCCCCTCCTCCAATTTCTAATGGGAGTTGTTCTGCGCTCCCTCAGATCCGACATGTCAGTATGTGTCTGAAGACACATGGTCAGCACCGTCCATCCCCCTCACCAATGAGTTCAGATACAACACGACCGAAGCTCTGCCCTACATACCTCAACCAGCAGCCAGCGGCTCCTACAACGGGTGGGTGTTCGAGAACATGAAGAACGTGTTCTTTGTTTTCTGTGATTAATGTTAACATTTCAGATAAACCAAATTTAAATTCATGACTTGAACACATTTATTTTGGTAAGTATTTATCATTTTGTAGAAGAGCACGTCTACAACATGAAAAATATAACGTTAAAAATAATTTACTTAAAGTTCATTTCCACCAGAGTTTCCTACATTACTGAATCTTGACTATTACTGCTAATGTAAAATAATAATCTTAACATCTGCTGTAATAAACTCCCTGAATTACTGGACTGTTTTGAGCATAGCCGGAGCTTATTTGAATATTCAGGGCCTGGAAATGTTTAGAGACTGTGTGGGACAGTATCAAGTTCTGTAAATGTGACTGTGATGAAAATATTTAGGTTTTCCCAAACCAGAAACCCAGGACAGCCAGTCAGGTCTGCACACGCCTTAAAGCGCACGGTCCAGCTTTCAGCTCAGGTGACGGAGCTCTTTACAGTGCTGCTTGAGCTGACCTGAAAAGAGGACTTTAAAAAGCATGGAGGCCTCTGTATCCAATTGTCCCCCTCTTACAATGCTGTTGTTGCTAGTATCACACAGCCTTCTGTGAATAGCAAGTGGCTATCAGGGCACTAGTGATCGGTCATTAAGCTGGTGGTCCTCCTTCATCATGTGAACAGCTAGTCAACAACAAACTGGTTGATCCACTGTGAGAAGGGGCTATTTATAAGACTGAGTATATTACATACAACGGAGCTTTAGGGCCATGTTAAGAAAGAAATTAACATAAAAAGCCATAAAATTACAAGAATAAAGTCGTACGAGGCTTCTTTTTTTTTTTTTTGCAGCTCGTGTTTTTTTTTTTACGAGTCTGATCCACAACTCAACCTGTCAATCAATCCAGGAGGCGTGTCAGCAAATGACCAATCCAAAGCCAAATGAGTTGTAATATAATGCGAACTCTGACACATAAAGCAGGTTTTACTGCATTTTAACTGTGGTAAAATGAAGAATGTTGTGCATCATGTTGAGTTATACTTTGGTATTGGTTTTACAAACAAGGAGATAGTTAATCTGTTAGCACATCAGCATCAGATTATTATCAGCATCAGGACTCTGAACCTGTTTACAGTAAGGTGGTACGCTCTGATGGGCTGCAGCGCAGCTCTCTGCAGGTAAGAAGCATTTAGCTTCAGATTGGTCATTTGCTGACACGCCTACTGGATTGACAGATTGCGTCGTAGATCCGACTCAGGGAAGAAAAAAAAGCGTCTTACAACTTTATTCTCATCAGTGTTTCCCCTACCATTATACAAGCCCCATCAACAGAATCGAGCGCCCCGTCTACTGAACCCCACCCCCCACCCCAAACCACCTGTCGGCACTGACGTAACGCTAAACTAGCGGCTCGCAATGCAGGTGTGCTAGCTAAAAAACTGAAGGCAACCTCTTCCTTCATGCTGAACCCTCACGCTGAACGCACCCCTGCCACTCAAAAACTGTCAGTACAAACACTGCACGGCTCAGATGTGTGTCTGTCTCTCATCCACCCCCACCCCCCCCAAAAAACCCAAAAACTGTCTGTTCATACAGCGCGCGGCTGGAATGTGTGTCTGTCTCTCCTCTCACACACCCTGCTCTAAAACTGTTGGTGCAAACAGCGTGCGGCTGTCTCTGTGTCCCCCACCCCCACTCTGTTGGTTTAAACAGCACGTTTAGGACGTATCTCCGTCCGTCCGTCTCCCCCGGACAAAAATCACGGACGAGATGAGCGCCCCGCCATGGCAAGTTACCTAGGGGGAACAAATGGAAGCTCATAATACTACAACTTTATTCTCGTAATTTTATGGCTTTAAATTATTTTTCTTAACGTGGCCCTAAAGCTCCGTCGTAATTACAGCTCCTCAGACTGAAGAAGTCTTTTAGATTAAAGACAAAGCATTTCAACAGTTTATTTTTCATTTATTTATTTTTGAATCTGTCCAGAGTACCTGACTTAACTTTGTTAGATTTTGCTACCTGGATTATTGAGCATGCGTCAGGATATTCTTTAGGTTATAGCGTCCCCTATCACTCAATGTCAAATCTGATTCACTAACTCAGATTTGCATTCTCCTGCCTCTGCTAGTTTGGACCCCTAAGTGAAACTTCTTCAACTACATAGTAGAAGTCCATTTTTAAATGTTATTTCAATATATTTTTGGATTTATTCAACACAATCACCCTGGACATTCTGACAACCAAACAGGACACTTTGCACCCCCCTTCCCCTGTCACAAATGCTTCAATAAAGGATTTTTTTTAACCAGTCGACCTTCAACTGTTGAGATTTTGTACGCACTTCCCCTCTATATGTACTCTGAGCCCTGGTTCCCCTTAGGGCTGCATGAAGAGTCCCCTCCTTTACTGTCTTTACACCCATGGTGCAGTCTGACCCATAAAAACACCATCGTCGTCAAATCTGTTGAGGACAGACACTAAATTGGTTGGACTCGTTCTAAAGGCAGCATACATCAGGAGGTCCTGAAGTTAACAGCCTGTTGCTCAGGGAGTAATTTGGCTCTGAACACAGCAAAACAACTGACTCGACCACCACCCGTCCACATCTTCAAGCTCCTTGTTATCCTTGTTTTTGTTGATCTCTCTTGGACAAACCAAACCACAGCTGTTATGAAGGCCCAGCAGAGACTAAACTTCCTGAGGAGTCTCAAGAAGAACAACCGGGATAGAAAACTGCTTCTGAATTTCTGCAGTTCCTTCATTACGAGTCTGCTGACTGACCGTGTTGCTATCTGGTACAGGAGCTGCACTGAGGCAGGCAGGAGGACACTACAGAGTATTAAAACATCTGCAGATACAGTTGTTGGTTGCCTCTCTCTTTCCTGATGAATATTTACGCCTGCTGCCTCTGAAAGAAATGAACTTGCCAAGGACAGCACACCCCCCCTGGGTTTTATCTGTTTGACCTGCTGTCCTCTGGCAGGCGCAACAGGTGCTTCAAAGCAAAGACAAATTCGTTTAACTCTTGAATGGTTTTAAATTGCGTTCTATGGTGTTTTATGTTTTACATTATGTATATATAGTGGTTTAGAGTATTTGCTCTTGCATCAATTTCAATGTGACATACAGTGATAATAAAGACATCCTTCTTCTAAAGTAAATGTTGCATCTACTTTTTCATTATTTGGTTAATGTCCTGCTCGTGTTTCAGCAGTGTTTGTTTATTATGTTCCAGTTTTCTTCCTCTGTTGAAGCTGTTTGAATGTTTGCTTTTCTCCGCAGGTTCCCTTGGAGCAGTGCCAACAGTCACTGCAACAGTCCGTGCTGCTACGTAGGTACGTAGTCATCATGTGGCGTTTCCAATCTGTCGTTTTGATGAAAAGAAAATTGAACATTTCAGTCCATTTAACTTCTTTTGGAAATGTTCTTGAGATTTCCTGTGTTTCAGTTCTCAGCATGTTTGTTGTAATTTTCCAGGTAATGGACAATTTCTAAGTGCTTTTCCTAAAAAAGAGGGCCACATGGGACATGTCAGTCAAAGAAGCTGGACCGAGGAGCAGCCTCAGGAATCTCCCACAACCTGGAACACTGCATCCTGCGTGGGCAGCAAGGTGACTCCTCATTAAACCCCAAAATATCCAACTGCGTTAACGTTGCAGCTAAACTTTATTTTTTTTATTATACACCCATCAAAACACAGACATATTATAGTCCAAGGTCACAATCAAGGTCAAAGTTCATACAAGCTCTTTGCTTGTTCAAGCCATTGCCATTGATTGTTGTATATTAGTTTGTCAATGGGCATATAATGGGCACATATATACTGTATATATGTGTGTGTATGTGTGTGTATATATATTATATATATATAATCATCATTTTATTTAAAAAGTGCCTTTCAAGACACCCAAGGACACTTTACAGTATGAAACATATCAGAAAGATTGTGTAAAAACAAACAAGCACGGTGCAAAGATCAACAGGAATAAATTGAAATATAAAATGTATAAAGAATATAAAATGCATACAGCAAAGTTAAGGATAAGCGAGTCTAAAGAGATGTTTTCAGAGCAGTCTTGAATAGAGAAAGAGAGATGGTGTTTCGTAAGTCAGGGGCAGAGCAGGTGAAGGCCCTGCTCCCCATGGTGGAGAGGCAGGCAGAGGGTACATGGAGGTGTAGTGAAGAGGAGGATCTGAGAGAGCGAGAGGGGATGGAGATGTGTAGGAGGTCAGATAGGTACGGAGGGGCAAGGTTGTGGATAGCTTTGAAAGTGAGAAGAAGAATTTTGAAGACGATGAGTGATTTAACCGGGAGCCAGTGGAGCTGCTGCAGGACTGGAGGGATGTGGTTATAGGAGGAGGTTTGAGTGATGACACGGGCAGCTGAGTTCTGGACCATTTGCAGCTTCTGGAGAGATTTGTTGGGGAGGCCATAAAGAAGGGAGTTGCGGTAGTCAATCCGAGAAGTCACAAGACTGTGCACAAGGATGACTGTGGAGCGGGGTGTGAGAGAAGGGTGGAGACGGTTAATATTTCAGAGATGGAAATAGGCAGACCGAGTGACATTGTTGATGTGTGAAGTGAAGGAGAGAGTGGTGTCAAGGATGACACCAAAACTCTTGACCTGAGGCGAGGGAGATAGCAGAGAGTTGTTGAGGGGGATGAGAAGATGTTCTGATTTTGAAAGAGTTTTTGGTACAGACAAGAATGATTTCTGTTTTGTCACTGTTTAGTTGTAGGAAATTGTTAGAAAACCAATGATTTAGCTCATTGAGACAGTCGGTGAGGATAGAGGGTGGTTGGGTGGAGTTTGGTATTGTTGACAAGTAAAGCTGTGTCATCAGCATAACAGTGGAAATGGACACCAAATTTGCGGAAGATGTGACCTAGAGGAAGGAGGTAAATGATGAAGAGGAGGGGTCCGAGGACAGAGCCTTGGGGGACACCCGTGGAGACGGGGGAAGACTGGGAATGAAAGAATTTAAGCTGAATGAATTGAGTGCAGTCAGAGAGATAAGATTTGAACCAGTCTAACGGAGTAACTGAGATGCCAATGGAGGTTAGTCTGTTGAGGAGGATAGAATGACAGATTGTGT